ATTCTGGCTCTGTCTTCACTTACTGCAATTTGCATTGGTGTTTCTTGACTCTTGTTGCAATACCAATTTGGCAATCTTTTCAGAATTTTTATATCTAACTAAGGAAGCCTATATGGTACCTACTTTTTTATAGTTTTAAACCTACTTCAAATGCTATTGGATTTTTTTTAATTGTGCATGTAATCCCTTTAGTGATAACATAAGCCAATAACTAAGAAGAAATTTCAGGATATCACTATTTGAATCAATTTTACTACTTAACTGACCAACTTCAATCAGTAAAGGATTCTACTTACATAAGTCTTATGTATTTGCCATATGTGTCTATGTATGTCATCCATATTTGTATGAAACATTCTTTGTAATGCCCTTTTCACATTAATGTTTTAATTAGTGTTTCATACTGCCCTACTTACTCACAACTAGCTCTATGTTTACTTCCAATATGAAAGCTTTTAGTAGGTACAAAATTTGAGAATAATCAAGGCATCAAAGACTTGCTGCTAATGGTAAAGATACATTTATGTCATCAGAGCAACTGGAAAGGTCCTACCTAGGGATTGCTTCAAATGCAGAGAGTTTTTTTAAGCTTGTCTAAGCTTAAGGCAAGAAAAGAAAGAAAGCTGAAAAAAAATCCTGTCTTGCACACAAACATCTTCCTCCTACTGTGCAGAAACAACCCTTCTTTCTACAATGTCCATCTATATTCCTATTTCCTCTTAAAAAATTAAAGTTTTAACTAAATTATGGATAAGGTCAGCTTTCCTCAGCTATCCACATTTATTTTCTGCAAGAAGTAGAAAGTTTGCAAAAAGTGGAGAAAGGGAAGGGAAAAGGGACGGGAAAAGGGACGGGGAAGATTCTCTGGCAATACTTCCACCTACGTAAACTGAGCAGCAACCACTTGAGGACGATTTCTGGGCCAAGTCTGTGGCAGGCAGCGAGCCGGGAGCCGGGGGGACGCTGCGGGCAGAGGTTGTGTGGGGAGGCGCGAGCAGCGGAGCCGCGTTGGGGATACGCTGGGCACAAAGGAGCCGTTCTGCGGGAGCCTCGCTCGGTCCCTGCAGGGAATCATTGGGGGTAAGGCTGGTGCCCAGGCAGCGAGCCCGAGCGCTGGCCCCGGCCCTGAGCGGCAGCTTTATAGCGCTTGCCTCTTTACGCCTCCATGCAGAACTGCCAGAGGTCACTTGAGCACGCGAAGAGCAGCGTTTTAGGTCTGAGGAAATATATTTATGCTACACCTCCCTGACAAGCCATCACATGAGTTGAAGTCAGAGCTTTTGGGGACTGCTACTTCTTCCTTATTTTGCTCTGCCAGAACTCAGAGCAGCCTCTTTGCCCCAGCCAGGTCCGCTTGGAGCTTGCTTGGCCTGGCTCCAAGGCTGGTTACTCCAGAGCTTCGCTGTGTGGAGTCATCCAAACTCAAGCCCATTTAAGCCCTCCCAGTCAGAGCTGAAACAGCCTCTAATCTTTGGGAGAATTAGGCTTCAGGGAACAACAAAGACCACTTGACCTTTGAGCAAGAGAGTTCACACCAGGCGTAAAGTCTTTTATTATCCATCAGCATCAACATCACATCCTAGAGCGGGCCCATGCCCTAACTGCCATACCAATCTCACTAACCAACGGGTGGCAGGGTAAGCCCAGGCTTTTATCAGTTTATAAAACCAACTCCACAGCGGTAGATCTGCCTTACCATACTGGGGCGCATAGCTCCGGAGCGCCAAAGCGAAGACTGCCACATTATTCCCAAGCTTTCCTTCCCCATCCCTCCTCCCCCTCACTAAATCTTCACCTTTACCTTTCGCAACATGCACAAACGACCACCTGGCAGCTCAGTATTCACACACTGCCCTTCTCCCCAGCCGTGTTGGCTGTGACGGCTTCAGTTTCCTTCCTCCCCGCCACCCCTGTCCCCGCTGTTGGACAAGCGCCTTCACACGCACAGACATTATGTGACAATGTTTCCGATTCTTATTTTCTTACGATTTTTTTTTTCAATTACTAATAACTTTATGTTTACATACTGAGGTAATTATGGTATGGCAGTTATAGTAAAGTATCTATGTATTTTACAAAGATATCAAGTAAAAGGCTTGAAATGTGCTCACTCAATCCTCCAGTGGTCAGAAAGATGTGTCTGTTCCAAACCAACAGCCCTGCTGCACAAGCATCTTCCAGATCAAATATTGCTCTGCAAATATTACTTATGTGAAAGAAATATGACTGCCACATAGTGTGACAGAAATCCTTGTTTTTGAAAGCAATAAGACAACTTCACTGACTTTATTACAATCACAGTTTTCACAAACTAGGAGTGGAAGAGCTGCATTACAAGCTCTCTCTCTCTCTGTCAATCTCTCTCTGAACAAGCTGATCCTCTTCAAACCATTGGAAATTCCCACACAATTAAATAAGACTATTCAATATAAGGAGTACTTTGAGCAACATCATTCCTAGTCTGTATGTCCTGCAAGTCTGCGCTCTGGGGGCCCCAATTCAACTCTCTAGCTATGTGCAAATATACTATTGCCAATACAGAGAAACTGCTACAAACAAACATTTGAAAGAAAGGGCTATTTATTTCGACAGTACCGTGAATTCTGGTTGATTGTGGAATTATAGCTAAAAGGTATCTGCTAGCATCGTTCTCCAAAGCTATCTACGGTAACACATGCTACTACCGAGGTCTGGTTTTGCTTTCACATCAAGCCTCCCGCTCAGGCAGCAGCGATGAGGTTCCCACAGCTGCTTTAGGGGGTTGTGACTTCTATACACTCCAAAAGTTACAGTGCAAAGTGGGCTTTTAAGCACAACCTGCATTTCTCAATATTTCTCTTCCCCGAAAAAGCTCACAGTTAAAGGCTGCACGAGAGAGAAAAAGAGAAAGGAAAGGAGCCATCCCTCTACTGTAGCCTTTCCAGTGCTGTTATAACATGACCTAAATAAAGCCTTTTTGTCCAAATTCCCAGAGAAATGAGTTACAAGCAGTGGAAATGAAACTAAGTGAAAGAAAGATCCGTCTTCCTTCTGTCAGAAAATCCTCACTGTTACCTATCTATAGGAAATACAACCAGACTAAAAAATACTATTTATTACAGCCTAATATTTCCTCAGGTTAATGTGTTGTTACATACTAGTGAGGGGCCATCAGGGGGAAAGCTGGAAACATCTGTCTGCGAAACATCACATCACTAACACAACATCTAATAGCAGGCAACATATTTATTTACACTGGCTTATCTGCCACAGTTCAAAATACAAGCAAGGCTCTCAGAAAAGAGTTAAAAATAAATAAATAAATAAATCCCAAACTTAAGAGCTCTGAGACCTAGAACTTAGATGAACTTTGTGGGGTAAAATAAGCTTTGTGGTAATTTTTTCTTAACCTTAATTCAAGAGTCAAATTGAGCATGCTATTATAGATGCCAGAGAATCCACTGGATTTTGGCCTTTAACAGAATATACAAGGTGATTAAAATGAGAATTGCACTTGGAGTGACTTATTCACTGTAGGTATTTCATTACTTATTTCCTTCCTTTCTCTGAGGCCCAAAGCAAGAAAGCAACTGGTGTTTTCTGGGGTAGAGGTGGGTCTGCTCCACGCTCTGAAGAAACTCAGTAGTTTTGGAAGGGTTTTTTTTTCAGTTAAATGGCCTGCCACGTAGGAAGGCAAAGTGCTCGGCCCCTTGGTACTTGGAGATCAAGTACCACTGCACTGGTTGCAGCCACATTAGAGTTTATTATGGCTACAAGGGTATTTATGAGTTTTAATCCCCCACCCCCTTCATCTTTCTCTCAAAGTTCTCCCCCATCCAAAGGAAGAGGGGAGCAGGCAGGAAGGTCTGAGCTGCACATTTCGGCATGTATAAATAACTGCCTAACAACTGGTGGATCTGCAAGTGAAAGCAACAGCCACTCACCGACCCACGAGTTTATTTATATACTACTCTGTTAGGAGACCAAAATACCTATTTTAAATTTTTGCTCTATACATCTTGTAGCTACATATCGCAGCCCTTGACATCAGAGCTAAAAAGACAGCATATCAGATGCAACAATATTTTGTTATAGTACATACAAAATTTACAAAAATATACAGACATATTGTACTTATTTATATACTTGCACAAATACATTAACAGATTCTGGTGCAAGTAAGAATTTCTAATCAGCTACAAGCAATGAGTTTATGACAGTATGAAGTTGTCCTGTCTGCTTTTCTATGAAGATGTGTATTATCTTGGAATAAAAATAAAGAGCTAACAAAATAATGCAATAAAGCATTATTATATATATATGTATATATATATAGCATCACATGCATACAGCATCTGATATGCTCCCTCAAGTCATGAAACTTTCCGCCTCTAAAAATGTAGCAGCTCAAAACATTTCAAGCAGAAAAAGACCCTCAGCATATAGACATTTGCTTTCTAGAATCGTAACACTGCTTCTAAATCATTAGCTGCATTCACTGACCATAGCCTCAACTCCATGTACTGCTATTTTTGTTTAATTACTCATTTCCTATGAACAAGAGACTGAAATCACTGTGACAATCTACTGCTCTAATGCTCATAACTGCCACCCTTTTACAGAATCTCCACATTTTTGAAAGGATTAGAGAGGCTCTCCTAGAAATCAAATTACAATCCAGAGGTTTCTTTCAGAGTTCCTATTTTTAGTTGTCGACTTTAGAGAAAGCTCTTAATCATCATTAAGAGAAGGTTAGTTTCTCCACAGTGCGAATAGCTACACTTCCAAAAGTTTAATCAAATTCATTGCTTTCAGAGAGCTAACAGAACCCCATGCAGCATGAAATCAGTTATATATTATATAAAGCAATATATACATATATATGTTATTAACTGGCATTTCAGTGCATCTTCTGTGTGATTCCTTACTTTAGAGAGGCTTTGTTTCATGTCTTTTAAAGGCTATATTGCCCCCGCTAATAATACTCACTCGTAACAGAGCAAAATAACACAGTATGTTGAAGAATTACATTTTGCTTCCTTGTGTCTTCCTACCAATAATGCAGCTCTAAATTTCAACAAGAGATGAAGTCATTTACACTGATTTTATTTTGCTATCACTTCCAGGTGGTTAGTACAGGCTTTCCTGAATCTCTTGCACGATTTCCTTTCATTCCAGTGGTTTGCCCAGAACGACTTCGCATGTCACGATCAGGCCCATCACTTTGTGCCATCTCTTCATCATATCTAAAATAAGATAGTGTGTTCAGTGCCTTACTCTGCTCTTCCCTATACAGAAAAGAGTGTCTTTTCTATATTAGTAGTTAGCACTGAAATGTAATACAAGCTGTTCTACTCATAGGTTTTCATATGGAGAGTTTGACACTTGACTATTATTCCAAGAAACATATCACTAGGTGATGTTAAAATAAAGAATAGCTAAAGTATCCTCAGTAAGCTTTTATATTAAAAAATAGAGAAAACAAACAAGCAAAAAAAAAAAAACACAACAAAAAAGGCATCTGGCAGTTTTGGTTAAACTCCTGAGTTGTGAAACTTCATGCTCATGAAATTTTGTACGTACTTCTGTAATTCTCACTA